GACAGAGATGATGGATCGCGTCGCGTGTCACTGACTGCTCTCGGAGGATGTTCGATGCTTCGCGAACTAGGAAATGGAGGAACACGGAGGAATCGGAGGATATTTCCTCGGGACTTGCGACCGATTCGCGCAAATTTCCACGGAGAGTCGCTTATCCTTACCTTCGCGAAGAAAACTAGTTTGAAATGGATTTCGTCCAATAGACGAACAAGGTGCAGGAAGAAAAATTGCAGGGAGAAGGTTCGTTTTTGCTAATTGATTAGCGAAGGAATACCGTTTCAGCGTGAATCGACGAACACACCGTGCATTCGAACGCAAACTCTCGCTATCTTTTTATTGGCCGGTAGCACGTATTTGCTTTGTCACGAGACAATCGTATGACCACTCAACGTCTTTCCGAGAATAGATAGCATTATGGCTGACTGCTCGTTGCACCGTTGAAACCGGTTTCTCAGCGACGGACTGAAAACGCGAGGGCCACCCTTCTGCACCGGCGACCGAAAGTAAAATTACGCTCGGGCCAATTGCGAAAATTGCCGGTGAGATGTTTATCGGGATATAGCTTGCGGCCATCTTACCCTCTGCGCTCTCCCGCTCTGTAAACTGCGAGTAACCAAACTGTACGTTATAATGTACCTTTTGAAACTTTTCAAGTCTTCATTCGCGTGATTTCTCAGTTACTTATTTAGCGGTGGAAAGTGAAAAAGTTTCAACGACGATAGATAAAACTGGGCTTTACGTAATTACTTTGGCGAAAATGTCGGGGATCGTGCGCCGCGTGTTGACTCGAATAGGTTTTAAAAACGCTGGGAAAAGCTGAGTTTCCCAGGTACGAGGACGGATGACAAGCACCAGTCTCTTTACCTGGTTAGCACGCGGTTCGATAGTTACCTAAACACCATAAAAAATTCAACGTGCCCTGCGTACCCCGTTTTACGACTTGACTCTTCGGGTCTGGTGAAAGTTGGGCGAAAACAGCGAGAAAAGGTTTTTCAAGAAAGGGTTCAATCCTTCTTTCTCTTTATCGACAATGGACACGAAGATGTTTTTTTTTCCTCCCCGAAACTTTCTATTTTTTATCTTTTCCCTTCTTTCCTTGTTCAACCCCTACAATAAACTGACCATCCGAAAGTGCTAGTTTTTTTCTCTTCTCCGAAAGAGAAAGTAAGGAGAGAGTTAAGTTTGTGGCTCGTCAGACGAAACAGACAGGTCATTGCGTGAGAAAAATTATACTTTACGTAACGAAAAATCTCGCTCGTGATTGGGATAAAACCGTCTTTTCTTTTTTTTTTTTTACGTCTGCGAGATAGTTACGAAGCCGAAACGACGAATTTACATGGTCCAAAGAACGTCGTGAAATTGATGTTTCATTACATTGATGAACTGTTTCATTACACGGTGGTTAATTTTTACTGGATGAAATTGATAAAGTAGACGCCTTAATTAATATTGAACCGATTTCGATCGTTTCTTTACCAATTATACGATTGAATTTAATAAGAAGATTAACAACGAGTAACGATCATGGGAACGGACATAATATTGGGTTACAGCACAACAAATTGCTTTCACAAACGAAACTCGTCTTCAACATCGAGCTCCCAGCAGAAGGGAACTTTTGTTTTTAAATGTACAGCTATTGAAATGTAGTTTAGTCACCGAACCCTTTGTACTTCTCGCGTGCTTTTTATACTGAACCAACAGTCGACTTTTTCTTCCAAAATTCTTACTATTGATGTGACTACGGATATGGAAAAATTGTAATAAAATATTCAGGAAGAGAATAGTACTGCATGCAATGTTTTTAATAGCTAAAATAATTTTCATGTTTTCAAATATAAAATTGCATAAAGATCCGCAGTCTAATCAATACGAATCTTCATTTACGAATTTTATTTCGCGCGATGTCTAATCTCAATATCTACCATCAACCGGAAGGACGACGGCGAGCGTGGTAAGTGTATCGATGTGGAAAGAATCGACTGTTGGTGTTAGTGCAAAGGGTTGAAAAGGCAAATCTTCCTGCATGAAAAAACTAACCTAGGCAAATCTGCGTTCTTGACGTTTCCAGGACCGAACGGTTGTCCGAGGCGTAGGGGTCGGCAGACGTACACGCGGTTCCAAACGCTCGAGCTGGAGAAAGAGTTCCACTTCAACCCATACCTGACGCGACGGCGGCGAATAGAGGTCGCGCACGCCCTTTGCCTCACCGAGCGGCAGATCAAGATCTGGTTCCAGAATCGGCGGATGAAGCGGAAGAAGGAGCTGAGGGCGGTGAAAGAGATCAACGAGCAGGCCAGGCGAGAGCGCGAGGAGCAGGACATCATGCAGAAACAGCAGGCCGAGAAGCAAGCGAAGTTGCAGCAGGAGCAGCAGAACGCCGCGCTGCAGCATCAGCAGCAGCATCACGTGAGCGGCCTTGACAAGACGCAGAGCGATCTTCTGAAGGCGGTTAGTAAGGTGCCCACATAGGAGACTTTGCTGGGCCGGTTGTCTTTCTTTTAAAGAAGAAACAAGAGACTGGACGCAGCTTTTAGACGCAGACATCGAAGCGAAGTACGTAACTGGTGAGAGGTCGGCTAAAATGTGTGTGTAGAGGACCTTTTTTAAAAAAAAAAGAAGAAAAAAACGTACTAACGCAGACGAGCACGAAAAAAAAAAAA